TACTGGATTGAATGCAGTTAGAGAGGAGGGATGGGGGAAAGGGAGAGTCTGAAGAAATGCAAGCTAAGGGGGCTTGAGTGTGTGTGAACAAACTAGATCACAAATCATAGTAAGAATGAGAAGATTTGATTAATAGGAGAAGAGTTGTTGAACCACTTTGAACCAATTTGATTGCCAGGCCTGCATTCATGCGTTGGTACAGATATGTTCTTCTAGTGCTCACCCTTAGCTCAGCATATATAGTACTACCTCTGTTAACTTCTCTGTGAGTGAAAAGGGTTGCTGCACACTGCTGTGCCACTAACAACAGCATTTGCAGTCCTTGGGCTCTAAGGCTGTACATTGAGGAAAAGAGAGAAATTTACTTTTGGATCTGGTGAAAAGCAATTGGAGTAGTGACCGGAGCCAAGCACTTAAAGCAGGAGATATTAGGAGAGTTACCTTGCTGTTAACTATAACTTTTTTCAGGAGTTTCGGAAGAACCTGAAGGGTGTGAATGGAGGCAAAGACTTTGAACAGGACATATTGGAAGATATGTACCATGCCATCAAGTAAGAATCAGCCTTTCATTGCTTCCTTGTGTGCAGAGAGTAAACTAGAGCTGTTTGATATGTAAGAGTTTTGGAGAGTACTAAGAAGGCAGTCACATGCCAGTTTGCCTCAGACTGCCTTCCAGCACCATAGGGTATGTGGTGACACATACATAGGGTATGTAGGTGGTCGCATAGGTAGTGACATAGAGTGTGCCTGTCCCAGCGAGTACACTGGATTTATGTTTTTGGATTCTTACCCAGTCTTACTCAGTTGCTGCTGGGTATTGCTGAGAACCACTATACTCATAGCCAGGATATAAGAGAGGAGCAGGAGAGGCTGGGAAGATAGAATGTGTCAAGAGCTGGCAAAGTGACTCCAGAATAACTATGGGAACCAGTATGGTCCCAGACAACCCAAAGGTGTTGCTGAGTTTTAGGTTTGGCTCAGAATGAAAAATCTGACCTTTTCTGCATTCTTCTGTGTTAGAAATGATGAGATAGTGATGCCAGAAGAACAGACAGGCCTGGTGAAGGAAAATTATGTCTGGAATGTCTTGCTCCATCGTGGTGCCACTGATGAGGGAATATTTCTCCATGTGCCTCCTGGAAGCTATGACCATGACCTCTTCACCATGACATGGGGACCAACCATTGCAGCACTTTCCTATGTTTTTGACAAGAGCTTAGAAGAAACAATCATCCAGAAGGCTATCTGTGGTTTCAGGTAACTCTCTCACATTGATGAGGCCCAGAAAGGTTTCAGTCCGGCTGGTGTGTTATGTCTGAGT